ATATGTAAATATTCTTTCATGTTGCTTTTACCTGAATTTGCAATTTACTCATATACTTTTGGCACCCAAATTTGTACTTTATTTGAGAAAAGCTGCCCAAAACATTTTCTTTCCACACATGGCACATTAGAAATTAGGGGGAACATTGAAAACAGAACCCCCTCCCCAAAGGCTCTATAGTTTGAATAATCTAGATTAAACAAATAGTTTGCAGATATAAAAGATTTCGAGGAAGGAATCCACTCTTGCTAATTGCAGTGCTCTAGTCCAGTGGTAGAGAATCTATGGCACAGGTGCCAGAGGCGGCACTCAGAGCCCTCTCTGTGGGCACGTGTGCCGTCGCCCCAGTCCTAGGTCTTCAGCTGGGTTTTATAAAACTTTTTTGCTTTAGGCTTCTGCCGCCGTGTGCAAAAAAAAAAAAAAAAGGTTCAATCAGTCAATTTCAACTTCTCGCAGGAAAAAAAAAGGTCTTGTAAAGTTGGAATTGATTGATTGAACTTTTTAGTCCCATCCAGTCTGCCGTTACCACTACAGCCATGCCCACCCAATGGGCCACGCCCACCCAATGGGCCACATCCAGCCAATTGGCCACACCCACCCGGCACTCGACGATGCATAAGTAGGTTTTGGGTTGCAGTTTGGGCACTCAGCTTCTAAAAGGTTCGCCATCACTGCTCTAGTCTGTCTGACATGTAACATGGAAGTTTCTTTGACAAATTTGTTTTCGTTTTTTTGTAAGCCTAGAGGTTACAAAGAGTAGATAGAAAGGCTGCAATAAAACACAAGTCTGCTATGATTTTAACTTTTCATCTTGAGAAGAAGCCATCAAGAAAATATAGAAGGATCGGTGGAAAAATAGAATGAGAGAGTAGACAAACATTGAACCTCACTTCCAGTGGGATCATTTTGTTTCCGTGCGAATTAGAACATTTGGCAGATAACATGGAATCTAGAAAAGTGCTTGCGAAAGATTGATCGCTCCAAGGGCTTGATTCAAGGGATTTAGATAATTGTAGGTGCATCTGTATCGACCACACAGCATATGGGATGTAGATTTTTTTTTAAAGTGAGTTAATGGCAGCAGGTATGCATCTACCTCCCCTAGAGTGAAAAAAGACCAAGATTATCTTGGCACTATTATTGGCTTTGGCAAAGATGATTCTAGATTGTTCCTGCCAAATTCCAGAGGCTTGAAAAATTACTCCAAGATATTTAAAAGTAGAAATTGTTCTATTTTATTAATTTCTATTTGTCGTTGGAATTTATGGCAGCTTGGTCTTCCCAAGGAAACCATAATTTTAGCTTGGAGTAATTAAGTCTAAGACCTTCCTTCTTGCAGAATTCTGCTACTGCCTGCAAACTTTTCCAACCTGTGTGAGAGAATTGTTGCATCATTGGCATACAAAACATTGTCAAATGTCTGTTCCTATTCCATTTCCTTAAGTGGCACCGACCTTAAATTCTTTTTTTTAATAAAAGCAGTAACTGAATTTATATAAATATTAAACAACAGAGGAGTTAAATTGCATCCCTGTTTCACTCCACAGCCGACTGGAATGTTTGTAGTAAGATAGCCATCTTTGTTATACCTAACTTGTACTACATTTCATCATATAGGTTGAGTAAGTAAAGAGATACAGCTTTGTCTTGTTCCTTTGCTGAGACAGTCTCCCCCTCCCTCCCTTTTTCTTGTGCCATATTTTGTCCATACAGGCTTCATAACCTGAATAAAGATTTTGCATGAGGACAAAATTTTCTGAGATTGTCATTTTTCTAAGCACATTCCACAGCCTGACATGATCAGTATAATAATGGCATTTCTGTATCTGTGAAATACATTCTGATTTCTTTTTGGCATTCTTTTGCTTTCTCAATTACCCAGCATGCATCTGAAATAATACCTTGTTTTCCTCCGTCTTTTCTAAAGCCAGTTTGAATATCTGGCATCTCTTTTTCCAGGTAGGCTCTAATCTGCAGTGGATGATCTTAAACCTTATTTTGCTAGCATATTAAATTAAGGATATTATATGATAATTTGCTCACTGTGCTCCTTTTTTTTTGCTTGCGTAGTGGCTAGAACATTTACTGATTCTTTGAGTGTTGACATCTTTGCTACACAGAACTCCAATATATTTTTTCCATCTTTGATCTTTGAATTAGTTACTATCTTTATATATTATATATGTAGTTGTAATACTGCTTTTTATTTTTTCTAATAGCACTTTGAAACCTTTTGTTAAGTTCCTTCCTGAGTTATTTATCTTTTTTGTCTCTGGCTTCTCTTGGCAATTTTCACAGTTTGTTCTGACATCTAATTTGATTTCTTCTTTTTAAAATACTGTTATTGGAAACCTTTCTTAAAAGAAATAAAACAGTTAATATAAACTTAGTGAAAGAGAAAGAAAGAATAGAAAGTACAAGAAAAGAAAAAAAGAGGGAAAAATAAGAAAAAATGAAAAGGAATATTTAAAGAAGTGACTTCTGATCTTCATCACAAGTACAAATGTGATTCTTCACCCCCATAAGATTACATGAAAGTATCTCTTCTTCCTATAATCCATCCCTTATGCATACAGAAACCCATAAATCATTAACATTCAGTCCAGCAAAAAACTCATAAAGGGTAACCAAAAGAAACAGGTTTTATTTTAACCATAGCCAACTTGTTTTGTTTGTAATAATCTTGATCTTTAATTTATTCAACTGTTGTCATAGCACTTGGTTTCTCTTCAGTTTTTCTTTTCAACTATCTCAGAAGTTTCTTCAACACTTTAACAAACCACTTTTATAAATGCAGTAAGGAGTCATTATCCAGGTCATTCTATTGGCTTGTCATCTCTCACAATCCACAATTTTTAATTTTTTTTCAGTATTTCAACAGTTTTTTTTATTTTCTAATATTTTCTAATCAGATGAGTACCAGATTTTTTCTGTCAAACTCGTGACGTCATGTGACGTGTCGTGACATATGGCGACTTTTTTTCCATTGCCTGCAATGGGGTGGGTGCAGCTTTGCCATGACGCATCCGGCCCATGGGCCGGCAGTTTGACACCCCTGCTGTAGATCTTCGAGGCTATTTTTTCCCCCACCTGTTATTTACTCTTTGATATCTTTTGGAAATAGTCATTCCATAGAAACAGACCTCATTGCTTGCTTGGTAGCTGTGATTTCATCCCCATTCTTCAAATATCTCCCGGATTATTTAAAATGTCATATCATTTTCTGTCGTGTTGTCCCAATACTGACAAAATGCAAGCCTTCCCCTACCTCTTTACTCCTCAATAGTTTTCAATTGGCTCATTTGGGGACTTGGTAGCTCATCATTTTTCACCTGGAAGTTTTCAGTTAGCTTTCTTCTATTTCTTCGTCTTTGGCAGTCTCTTTTTGTAATTATCTGTAACAAATTATTTACTTTGATTGCACAGTTCCTTTGGTTCTCTGTCAATGAGGTTCCAGACTTTTAAGCAATTTTTATGTTCTCTTTGAAAAAAGTAAATATATGCTGAATATCATATTATAGATGTTGGTTGGCTTTCATCTTGTTCTTTAGCATAACATGGGATTTGCACTTAAACAGTTTGGGATCTTTTCCCTAGCTCCTCTTGCCCATGCCTTTGATGTTATATACTGAGCTCCTTCACCTATTTTAGCAACAATGAAGTCACCATTTCAGTTCTTTGAAGAAAGTGTTAGCTTTGAAGAAATAATTGAATTTTCAGAAATTGATAAGCTCACCTTCTTCATTTCAGTTCCTAAATCATATAATCCCAAAACATTTTCTCCTTTACATTTGCACTGTTGGTATTCCAGTCTTTAACAACACATCATGCATATTCTATCAATTTCAAATTGAACTTGATTATCAAACCCATCAGTTTCTTTTTTTATGGACCAATGTTTCATCTTAGATCATTATCACATTGAACAGTTATTCATCAAATTCTAGTCCTAACAAATTCACTGATACTGAAGATGTCAATGTATAGTTGATTCCTTTAATTTTTGACTTCTGCTGAGCTTTTCTGTGTTCATGCTTCTTACATTCCAACTTCCCACTGTAATTCTGTCTGTGGGTTTGGATTTTCCCAAAGGCTTTAATCAAGCTATCTCATAAATGCATTAGCATTCTAAAAGATCCTTAACTCTTCTTCAGTAGCAATTTGATTGCTATTCAATCTGAGATGCCCATCATCCAGCACTATATCTTCAATCATTTTATATTTTTTATACATGTGGTTTTGTTGCTAAAAATATAGAAATGGTTTACCATTGCCTTTCCTCACTCAATACGAATGGATACGTTTGCTCTTTTACCTAAACTGATAGTCCACTTCTAATATCTTGCCATATTGCCATATTAAGTGCCTGCGTACTTTAATGGGCAGAGGGGATAAGTTGGGTGACTCAGATGGCAATAAAGACTCCTGGAATCCATGTGCCATGTTCTTCGTTTATTCTCCTAGGAATATCTCCTTACACAGCAGGACCGGAATGTTGTTAGCTTTGGGATAGTTTTCTTAATAAATAAATAAATAAATAATGTTTTGACTCATTTACTTAAATGGGTTCTCTTTATCTAGTTTTAGGATTTGGTGAAGAACAGATAATGTTTTAGATCATTTTATGCAGAAAGAATGAATATTCAAAAGAGTTCTTAAAGTTTTACATACCAATCTCTTTCTGTGTATGTGTGTGTGTTTGTATGCACACACAAACACACACAATACAGAGATAATTTGATGTATCTTTATGATTGACTTGGACTATAAAATAAATAGCACAATCTTTTTTGTTTTCTCTCTCTTTCATTTCAGCCTACATTTCAAATGTCTTTTTTTGGTACAAAGCAACTAATAATTTATAAATCTTCACGTATATATCTTGTATTTTATCATTGCTATATTTGTCTTGATTAACGTATATATCTTGTATTTTATCATTGCTATATTTGTCTTGATCAGTTGATTTACAGTATACTCATTTGTTTTCTTTTGAACAGCCAAAGATAAATCTGAGAAAATATTTGCTCTGGCATTTGTTAAATTAATGCGATATGATGGAACAACTCTACGAGATGGAGAACATGATCTTATAGTATATAAGGTATTATCTTAAGTATATGCTATAACACTTTGAGGAGCCAGTGATTTAAGGAGTTTTTGTTATTGTTCAAAGTGATATAGAAGAATAATTTTGCACATGTGATCAATTTTTGTTATCTCATTAGAATCAGGTATAAGCATATGTATTAGAAAGAAGAGCAAAAGTTGTTTTTCACGTAGATATTTCAATACAAATCAGACATCTCATTAAACAATTCAAGATTTTAGGATTTAAAAGTTTTGGCAATGTTTTACAATTTAAACTACATATTTTATAGTAAGTGGAATCTTTCTCTTCCTTGTTTCCTCCAGACTTAGTATGTTATAATGTTGGTGATTTGCCTCTGGAGTTGAAACAGTGTTAATGTTGCTATGTGACATTTTGATCTACTTTTCAAGGCGGTGAAGGCAGCGAAGAAAACGTGCAACCAACTATGGCATTGTTAGAAATGAAATAAACAGTTAAAGGTATCTATGTTTTGATACAGTGAGATGTGAGTAATGTAAAAAATTAATATATATTTTGTTTTGGAATAATGTTGCAGGCAGAAGCAAAGAAGCTGGAAGATTTTTCAACATATTTAAGCTTGCCCTCTACTAAACTGGAATTGGAAGAAAAAGGTCACTCCATGGCTGGCAAGGGCATGCAAAATCTTGGAAGCTGTACCATCAGTAAAGACTCATTCCAGATCTCTACTCTTGTCTGTTCAACAAAACTAACCCAAAATGGTAGGAATGATAATACAGTTCTAGGGAAAAAAAACATTCAGTTTGTGTGTTGAAAAGATTAATGCTGACCATTTCAATTCTGAGACCCTTTTATATTTGGGCATGGAAGACCTTCAGAAATAAAATACAAAGTGTTGCATATTTTATGCAACCCGGTCAACCTTTTGAAATTCTTTTTGACAGGAGCTTATTTGAAACATCTAAAAAAAAATAGAGAATGTATGACCCTTCTAATAATTTTGGACTTGCATCATACCTGACCATTGGTCATACTGGTAGGACTGGTGAAGAACTATACATTTAAAATACCAATGAACAGAAGGAGGAAAATGATGGAGATTAGATGCTATCTGTAGCTTCACATATAAACAGATATGAATAAACTGTGCTAGAGATGCCAGAGTTTGGGTATCTCCACATCAATAGGAAAAATAGAAGAAAAAAAAATGATTATTCATATTTTGCTATACAGGTAACCCCCAAGTTACGAGTGTTCCCTTAGCGAATGTTTGAAGTACATGTGTTTATGAAAAAGTCCCAAAATTATGAATGTTGCCGCACCACAGCAGTCGTTCACCCTTACGAACGACCACAGTGGCAGTGCAATATTCACCCTAGTTATTCCCTCCCTCCTCCCCCTCGGATCTGCCTAGGCACCAGGCTTGAGGATACTCACCTTGCGAAGACCAAGAGATCCTTCGCTTTCTTGGCTGCCCCAGGCTTTTGGTATGTTTGCAGAGAATGGAGGCCTAAAGTAATGCAAGTTCACACGAGATCAGTGGTGCGAGATCTCACACTACAGAGCTCTCATTATCTCACGATAGTTTAGGCCTCTGTTCTATGCAACAGAGAATGGAATGGAAGCCAGGGAATGCTTCTGTGGGCCTTGGGAGGCCCAATCCAGGTGTTGGAGGCCTTTTCTGGGCCACTGCTGCCCAGAAAGGAGTCCGGGTACGCTTTCGCAGGCCTACAGAGGACAGCTCTGGGCCTCAGAGGCCTTCTGCAGTCCTCCAAGGCCCAGAACGGAGGACATGGGCAGTGGCCGTGTGCTTCCAAAGGTTCTTGGAGGCCTCCCTCTGCTCTTGCTGGGAGCAGAGAAAGAAACAGAGAGGCTGGAGAGGAGACAGATCTTCACAAGGTAAGTGACCCTGGTGTGGCAGGATTGGGCGGGGGAGCAATTGTGGGGACCCCAGGGGAGGGAGCATGAGGGATCTCAGTGGGGGGGGCTTGGGTAGTCTGAAGCAGGTGGCCTGTTCCATCACTAAGCCCCCCATGGCCTTCCCCACTCTGAGATACCTCATGTCATTTAATGAGCTACGCATATGCCCACGCATTAAATTAGTGAATGCATGGGTGAAAGCTGGGAGTGAATCGCATTCAAGGTACAAGATTCACTTCTACGAATCCTTGAGTTACGAATGGAATGGGCAGGCTCCATAACATTCGTAACTCGAGGACTACCGGTATAAAATGCATGTGAGTTTTCTTGTTTTGAAGATCACATGTATGCTCTCTTTAAACCATTTATCAGTAATTTCCTGTAAAATTATGAAGCCATTAAACATAAAGAGATAATTAATATTTTAGTAATTTTGAGTTCTCTTACTTTTATACAGCTTTAGAAAACCTATATTATTTCTGTGGCTAAATCTATTTTTTCAGATTTTAGATTAAATTGACTGGAAGTATAGTTTGTTGTCAGGAAGCGATAGGGATGGGAAATTTCTAGTTCATGGTAGTGATGCAGCTCATGGCATGTCCTCTCTAGTAAACACTCTTTCCACAGGGTTTACACAGTCTTCCCAGCTAGAGAATAACTCTCAGCAAGAGCTCAAACAGCAGCTGTTTGCACACAAAGGGTTTTTTTTCCTTTTCTATAAAAAACAGAGGGGATACAGAGGGGTGTCTACAGTTTGTGTTGGACAGAGCTTTCAGCTCTTTCCGAAACCTATCATCCAAGATTGTCTAGATCTTTCTGCATTGAGGCAATTCAGCCTTTGGAACACATTAACATTCTGAATTAAGGTTCAATTGTAATGTATCCATAGGGCCAACTGGAAATTGTTAGATAAAATATCACGTTCTCTACTCCTATTTGGCACGTGCCTCTTGAGTAATAGTTCAATCACAATTGAAGGAGAGTGGAGAAATACTATACTGTATACTTGCTATGTCCCAAATATTACAGTGCATTTCTTTCAGCCCCATGTTAATGTCCCTGTCGATGATTTTTTTTCTTGGTGATAATTCGCCCCATAATTATTTTTTTAATATTATTCAGTATTTTATTTCTTCCTGGCTTGTTGGATCATTATAGAAAATAAACCTGAAGAAACACATAGTTGCTTCAGATATAAAGAATTGAAGAGGTGCAATAAAAGGAGTCCTGTTGCCTCTCTGATAAGCTTGAAATGGTGTCATAGAAACAGATAGGAAACTGTTGTTCAAGAAAGCAAGTAAAACTTAACTCCTGCAACTGAAATATTCCATTAAAATCATTTTAATAAATTAGGGAATAGTTCTAAGTTGCTTAGTATAACAAGTATTTAGAACTGGATATATAATGTTATTACCTGGACAAGTTGAAAAATTGAGTAATTGAAGGAGGAAGGAATTTTATATTGGAACATCTTTTTGGGAACTGATCTTAGTATCTGCTATCCATATCTAGATTTAATTTAGAACTTTTTTGGGAATTTCATCTCCAGAATGATTTGTAGGAAATGCAAATCTTAACTAAATTATAGCTTTTTAATTCTTAGGGCACTAAAGCTGATAATAACTCTTTAATGATATTGCCTTTATTGATAGACAAAATTATATTGATTTTAGAGAATTATTTCTTTATTTTTGATGTTTTATATTGTGCTAAAATAGTTTTTAAGTTCTCTGGAACAGGGTTTTACAGTTTCCATATTTTAATGCAAGATATAAGTATGAATGAAGGTTGACATTGCATTTGTTTTGATACTTAAGCTCATCTTTAATAGAATGTTTTCTCTCATGTTCAGTTAATTGTGATAGTATTTTGAGAGGTACAATATCTTGACCAGATTCTGACAGTGGTCTTTTTTTAATTATTTTTTTAAAAAATAATTTTCACCTTCTTTAGAAGGAAAATTCTTAAAGGAATGTATAATGCTGTAAAACATTTTAGACATTTTCTAGTTAACAGTATATACCTGTGGGATTTGTTTACAAGCTTCATCCAATCTTATCATGCTCGATCAACTGAAAGTGAGGGTAAATCAAAATAATTCATTCCACAAATGCAAAATTTTGAATACAAGATGACTGGAAACTTTATATGACAGTGATGGCGAATCTTTTAGAGACCGAGTGCCCAAAAACTGGCTCCGCCCTACTCCACCCCTTGCCCCACCCCCACTCCACCCTCACCCCGTCCCCTGCCCTGCTTGCCCAAAGGGCCACTCACCGCCTCCAGGGCCCACCGCAGATCGCCCAGGCAGCCCAGCAGCACCATGGCCACTCCCTCTGCCCGCACCCCGCAGCATCAGCTGTGCGCGATGGGGCATGAGGGCAGAGTCTTGTCCACGCTGCCTGGCTGCCATGTCCTTGGCTGTGCTGCTCTGCGTGGGCCACGCTCGGGGGTAACTCTCCTCCAGGGGGGCTGCTGGTGAGTGGGTCGTGGGGGGAGGCAAGGCTGGGGCAATGCACGTGTGCCCACAGGCGTGCCATAGGTTCACCACCACTGTTATATGATATATGTGGGTCATCAGTTCCATCATAATTTTGAATTCTTAGGGCTCAGTCTTCCTTTAGGTCATTGAGAAATATTGCTGTGCTCAAATACGTTTTGTTTTAGTATAGTCTCCATAGCGATAATACTGCTAAAATTTATACATTAAAAATTATCTAGCCTGTTGACTTCATAATTCAAAAGTGCACTGCTTTTTCTGTTTGAGGACTGGTTTTCTGTTTGAGGACTGCATTATAAAAATGAGTAGATAAAGCCATGACAAACCTAAATTTCTTTCTAAGCACACTTTCTTGTCACATTATAAATTTAATTAAAATTAGTTAATATACTTTCTACCCAATTGTGTGTTTAATAATTTTAAATATCTGTTACATTAAAAATTATGATGAACTTTCTGGAGGGTTTAGAGTGGAATATGTGCTCCTAGGGCAGTGGTGGCGAACCTATGGCACGGGTGCCAGAGGCGGCACTCAGAGCCCTCTCTGTGGGCACGCACGCCATCGCCCCAGTCCTAGGCCTTCAGCTGGGTTTTATAAAACCTTTTCACTTTAGGCCTCCGCTGCCATGTGCAAAAAAAAAAAAAAGTTCAATCAGTCAATTTCAACTTCTCGCGGGGAAAAAAAGACCTTGCAAAGTTGGAATTGATTGATTGAACTTTTTAGTCCCACCCAGTCTGCCGTTACCACTGCAGCCACGCCCACCCAATGGGCCACACCCAGCGAATGGGCCACACCCACCTGGCACTCGACAATGCATAAGTGGGTTTTGGGTTGCAGTTTGGGCACTCGGTCTCTAAAAGGTTCGCCATCACTGTCCTAGGGCCTCAATTTCTAAATCTCATTATGATTTGATCCTATATTGCATCATCAGATTTTTGAACAGAATTAAGTTTGATGGCAGATCTTGACAATAATTTCTGTATGTAAAATCATTAGATTATGAACTGTCTTTATTTAAAAGTATCTCATTTATCCATTTGATTAGCATGACATTGGATTGCAGGAATTCAGAATCAACATGTGAAATGGCATGCTTGCATGCTTTCTTCTGTTCGGGAAGAGATGGTTGATACAGATGGTTTCACTATTCATATATGTTTTATATATGTCTAAAATCTGGTAACTAGATTTATTAGTCCATGGGCTACATCTGGTACTTTGCAAGAAATCTTTTTGGCCAAAAGGACTTATCCATCCATCCCTTCCTCCCCAATGTTACCATGCTGAAAATGTATTTTGGAGAGTTCCCTTAACATTCTGCAGCATATTTGTGGGATGGGATAGGAAAAGATTGAATTTCTTTCTGTCAGTAGATAAACATTATTAGATTCAGATTAACATATGTACGATTGCAGTTTATAGGAATTGTTCCAGTCTTTTTCTGCTGTTGTATTTTATGTATGATAGAATTATCCAACTTTTCTCCCTCCTTCTTAGTGGACTTACTGGGGCTTTTGAAGTGGCGATCCAACACAAATATACTGCAACAGAATTTAAGGCAACTGATGAAAGTTGATGGAGGTGAAGTTGTTAAAGTAAGAAATCTTTTTTCTTGGTGGGGGCGATCAGCAGGGATTATTGATATGGAAAGAGCAGCATTTTTTATTTCTATAGTATGAAAATATCCTGCTTCTTGTTGCTAGTAAATGAAATATCCTACAGGTAGTCCTTGACTGACAACTGGTTGCAAAGTAATCAGTTGAAGTTCTGATGGATTCCCCAAAAATAATTATGACCTGGTTCCGAAGTTCTGCCCCCACCCCACAGTTGCATTTTGGGTATTTGGCAACCAGACCACTTTTACTGAATGAAATGAAAACATCTTACTGTTGTATAGACTTGTTTTCTGTCAATCCACAGTTTTAAAACATGGAATAGTGAATTTAAGTTACGGTAAGTTACCAATTTAAGAACAACTTCCAGTCCTAAGTCTGTCCTTAAACCAAATTTGTATCCAAAGCAATACAGATTATTTAATCAATTTGCTTACTATGAATTGCTGAAAACAGGCTGAAGTGTGTGCAGACCTTGAGTGGGGGTTGGGATTATGCATATCCATGTAGGTGGGGAGGCATGCAAAGTGTGAACTGAGAAGGTGGACTTGGAAATGCAGTATTGGATGATGCTGTGCTGCTCAGCCATTGCTTCCTGCAGTGATGGAGTTCTCATTGTCAGCTGTGTGTGTGTGTGTGTGTGTGTGTGTAGGAAACCAGATTACAACTGAATGTTAATCAATTGCCTAATCATAAGGGAAATTTGATAGTGAAACTAATTGCACAGAAAAATGGTGAAATCCCCTTCAACAGAAGCTATAAGTCATTTGTGGGGAATGCTGAATTTGAATTCCTGCACTGAACATTGGGCTAGATTCACCAGTCTCAGAGGCTCCTTCGAACTCTACATTTCTACAAGTATGTATATTCAGTCATACAGGCAATTTTACGACCTATCATCATTCGTCCAGTAACCTTGTTAAGGTATGAGGGTGCTGAATAAATGGTGGCTATTATTGGTCCTCAGAATTTTAGTCGTCTCAGCAACCCAATGATCACATGATTGCGATCTGGATACTTGGCAACTGGTCCACACTTACGACTGATGGTAATACTCCATGATCACCTTATCATCATTTGCAATCTTCTCTGCCTGCTTCTTCAGAAAGTCAGTTGGGAAGTCGACAGGGAAGGTTGCACGTTTTTCCCACCTGTGCATTCTTTTGCAATCCTGTGTGCTCATGTCAGTCACTTATACATTATCCCTGACCTGTGCCATACCTCTTGTGCACCACCTCATATCTTACTTGAAATGTGCCACATTCTCACACCTTGCAAAACCTGCTATTAAGATGTAAGTTATTGAATCCTTGATGGAACATTGCCTCATTTGATATTATAAAAATACCTCAAGTAAAGAAGATACTATTATAAGAAATCGTAAGTATTAAATATGAATGGCCATGACTGGGTCATTAATCCAGAATACTTTTTCTCTTTAAAAGTGAAGTCTGAATATGCTGTATATCACGTGTGCAGAATGTGGTAGTTACATATGCTGATTTATAGCGTATATGGTCTACATTCCATCCTTGTGGTATTGCTATAAAGAACCTCAAAAGTTATAGGGGTTAGGACTGGGTGTCCTCAAAAAAATCCAAAGGGTAGGTCCGTTATTCAAGAAAACTACAATATCCTTGAAACACCTTGGGGACTGATGGCATATGGTCTGAATTCATTACTTTCAGTGTACCTCCTTAAATTCATTTTCCTTTGGCTATTATTTTTATAGACTCTCTTCTCATTGTATAAATATAAAATGTATCCATACACATACCTTTCTTGGGACAATGTGAATAAAGAATTTTTTATTTTATTTTCCCACTATAAAAAAATAATATAATCACCACTGTTGAACCAGTAAATTCAATTACTAATAACTTTTGAGAAAAAGTTTAATTTTTGAATACCTGTTGTAATATTGACCATATTTTTTTCCAGTTCCTTCAAGATACATTGGATGCATTGTTTAACATTATGATGGAGAATTCAGAAAGTGAGACATTTGACACATTGGTGTTCGATGCTTTGGTAATATATATGTATATATATATATGTACACACAAACACATAAATACATATATTGCTTTATATTGATTTAATTCATTTAATATCTGTTCACTATGAGCAGTAAAACTTTCATGAATCTCAAGTCTTCTGTGCAAATGCAATCATACTACTTTCCAAGGACTTATGATATTATTGACTACATGAAATACTGTTTTTGGAATTTATACCATAGAAGCAAACTTAAGAACACAAGTTTTGTGAAATGTTCACCAATATAAAATAAATAGTAACAGGCTGAGAAACCCATAAAACTTCAATGTATGCTACTTCCTAAGATCCCTGACACACTGCCTTTGGACACTTATGTAAATCCAGGCATATTTCTTAGTACCCACTAGCATCACTTGGGAACAAAACAGCAAGATACAGCAAGGTTGAAAAGCCTCTGTTTTGTATATTTATAGCTATATTAAAAATATAGATTTTTAATCACAACTTTTGCTGTGATTAAAATGATTCCATCAAGGAATCATTTAGATTTCTTGATGGAAGAATTGATGCAGCATGGCAAGCTATCATATGTCTGGTTTGGGTTTAGATGGTATGCAAAACCAAGTACTTTGAATGTTAAACTATGGTTTATGGTTTACTTTTACGGCACAATGATTTATTCAACAAATCATGACCTAGCAAGAACTATGAACCCAGCTAGTATTGCCTGCAGAGAAAAGACCTGTTATGGTTTCCAAAAGAGATTGTTTTGGAAGTTATCAGTGTAATATTGTCACTTCTGTGCATAATTCCATTCTAGGTCCTAAAACAAAAGCAAGCTTACTGAGGAAAAATGTATCCAAAGGGATAGATTTCCTTAGATATCAAGAGACACACTAAAGTCAAATGCCATGGATTTTCAGATAGCAAGAATTCTGTTGTGCTGGCAATTACATATGACCTTCATAGGTCATTATTTCAGCAACCTAGTCTGTATTTGAGGACAACTGGTAAAGTCTCATTGTTACTTTCAGTTTAGGTCTATTCAAAATTGTACTTTATTCTCCTTCCCTTATATTTAATATATGGAAGTAAAATCCTATTGCAAAACTTGTTTTTACAGATGGAGCTCTCTTCTATATTTTTTCACTAAAATGTAAATATTTGAAATGCTGTACTTTCAAAATTACGAATGCCCTTTCCCATTGAACAGGTTTTTATCATTGGACTAATTGCTGACCGGAAGTTCCAGCATTTCAATCCTGTTTTAGAAACCTACATTAAGAAACACTTCAGTGCTACTTTGGCTTACACGTAAGTTGTTAAATAAATATGTCATGGATGAAAATTAGTTTTTTAAATAGGAGGTATAAAAAGTCATTATCATAAATGCTTATATTGTTTTGCAGGTTGATTAGGCCAGTTTGTTGTCGAACTTACTATGCTGAAGGTCTCTTAGACTATTAGTAAAAAATATTCATCCAATTCTCTAACAGTATTGCTTTCTGAACTATTTGAGTGATCTCAGAATTAAAATCTGTTTTTCCCCCCGGGCTTCTTATCTGAAATATTTTTTTTGTGTCCATAGCTAAGCAGTTCATATATGCTGCGGCGCATTCTAGATTGTAGGTATGATTACAGAGAATGGCTTTCCATGAATAACTAGAAGATGGTACTCTGCCTGCTTTGGCATATGCCACTGAACCTCCTCTGATCTTGGTGATCAACCACATATGTTACGGGCGAAAAGTGGTTTGTGATAAATCCTGTACTTGAATTGTCTAGGACAGGGGTATCAAACTAGCGGCCCGTGGGCGGATGCATCATGCATCATGCACAGGCCACAGCCACACTGACTCCGCAAAGGCACAAAACGTCATGAATAAGTCACGATACATCACGTGACGCGATCAAGTTTGACACCCATGGTGTAGGGGCTCTTGCACATCATAAGAATAATCTTGAATTTTACTTAAGAGCCGTTCCTGGTTACAGTTACATTTACAGACATAGTTGCTATGGAAATTAGCAGTTTACTCAAGACCATGGACATAACAAGACACAAGGAATGCAAGCTAAAACAAAGCTTGCCTGAATAGTTGTCTTTAACAAATGTGTAAAAGAATAGTCAAAAGCCAGTCTGGAATTCCAAGAACCAGGTCAGCATTGTTACCAAGTCCCAGAGGTCAGAATTTCAAGTGCAGAATCAACATGCATGTCATACGAGAGCTGCAGATCAGACAATTGATTCCAATGAGAGATCATGGGTTAGCACTGCCTCTTAAATCAGGCTGCAACCAACTAGTTTTAATCAAGGGATTTATTCCCTTGCTTGGCAAGAAGCCTCATTGAACATTTTTGCTTTGCTCTTTGCTCTACTTACTTGATATGGGTGCTGGGAGGCCTGCTATCATCATCACCTGATTCCTCCAGGTGGTGCCTGTATTTGATCAGCGTCTGGTAATAGTTGGCTTTATGTCTCCTTAGATTGACATTCCACAAGATCTGCTGGATCAGTTTCTTCAAATTAAAATTCAGACTCAGCATCTGAGTCTTGGGCTATGACAGCTGTAGAGTACCATGAAGATATAATTCAAGACAGTATGGGAAGATCAGTAGCAAAATATGAACTCATTTTAGGAAAATGAGATACAGATAGTTCTCACTTACCAATCGCAATAGAGAATGGCACTCTTTTGCTAAGCAGTGTGGTTTTAATCTTCCTGTGAAGCCTTTTGTGCAATTTTATTTCTAAATAAGCTCTTTATGAATATGGACAGATACAGAAACATACTTCATTTGGTTAGCACATAAGTATTTGTTGCATTATTCTAAAACCTCTGTCTAGAAAATTTTAATAAAGAAGAAAATTTTAAAACCATTTGTATTATATCTAGAAATGTCCTCACAGTAAAGAAAGAAAACAATGGAAACAGAAGTCTTCATACTGCATTTGTATTCTACATTTACTGGCTGGTCAAAATGTGAAAAAATGCAGTCTGGCATGCAGAAGTTTATCTTATAAGTGCTCTAACATTTGTGTGCAAAATGGATACAGCTTTGCGTAATTTTCTTCAGCATTGATCCAAAAAACTAAGGCATCTTTTTATAAGTCTTTTGATTCTCTATTGAAGGTCTTCTTTTTTACATTTTATTTTACTTTTTCTTTTTTAAAAGATTTTTTTATCCTGCCTTTATTATTTTTAACATATATTGAGTTCTCTTTTTATTCATTTTTTTATTGTCCGCAAAAGTTCTCTGAACACAAATTACGATTATGCTATATGTTAATACATCTCATCATATATAGAATCTTTATTTTTATTTTTCTCAGAAAACTGACAAAAGTTTTAAGGACTTATGTGGATAATGCTGGTGTCACTGATCAACTGTTCAAGGCTATGAGATCTTTGGAATATATCTTCAAATTTATTGTGCGATCAAGAGTTTTGTTCAACCAGTAAGTATTATAACATCTTTATCCTTAAATGTATCTTCAAAATACTTCAGTTTTTACAGTAATTGTTTTATATACCATTAAATAAATGTTACTAGTTTCATTAATTGTAGATGAAATGAACAGTGAAAGTTTAGCATTATATGTTGATCAGTTCTTTGCTTGCTAACTAATTGTTAACTGTTAAGCTTTCAGGACTGCATTGTGTTTAGCATTTATAGATTTCCCTGACATTATATGCCATACACTAGATAAATAAATTGTTAACTCAGTATATTGTACTGTTTGTTTTGGCAAGTGTGCAGCTTGCTTGAATTATTAGAAAAAAATTCCAAAATTTAAATATTCTGCACAGTAATATTCTAATACAATATTGTAGCAATTTAATCTTACTTCATCATAGGAATAATTAGAAAAGTTAGAAGCAGGTTGGTCCAGTGGTTAAGGCACCAGGCTAGAAAGCAGAAGACTATGAATTCTACTTCTGCCTTAGGCATGAAAGATGGTTTGGTAACTTTGGGGCAAAGTTACCAAACCATCTCAATTTACCTCACAGGGGAAATAGGAAAAATATGAGGAGGAAGGAGAATTAGATAGGTTTGTCATCTTGAGTCATTAATAAAATAATGAAAGTGGAATTTTAAAAAATCTAAGAAATAGTTAATGCTATCCTAGTTTTGATAATTATTACTATATAGGAATAATCTTTATAACAATATCAATTATTGGAGAGGAAAAATATTAGTAAGACATATATTATGATTTTTTTACAGATTTATAGATGAGATGTATAAAGATTTATAGGCAAAGATATGTTCTTGCCAAAACGTATCTATTCAAAAAACTCAATACTGATTCATATCTAAATTAGTCTCCTCCATTGTTTGCTTATTTCAGTTTTCTAAATTCATGTTTTTTGATATTTCAGGTTTAGGTCTCTCAAAAGTTTATCATTACCATGTTTCTATTAAAAATAATAGACTGATTTTTATTAATTATTGACCATTTAAACCTAATTTGTGGCAGTTTATATAATATATTGGACCAAGCCTAGAAGTTCTTTGGAATAGATGAAAATATTTTGTTAAGTAACAATAATTTCCATACTCTATCCACTGTTTACACTATTCTATATCCAACACTTAAAAAAAAAGATAATTCTAAACAAAAAAGATTCATATCTGCATCCAGTATAATTTGACTCTGAATTTTGGACTAGTTGTTAATGCAAACAATAGAGAATAATGGTATGTTTTTAAGGCTAGTAGAAATGAAAATTGTATCCTCTCTCTTTGGCAATGTGTGAGATGCTCTTTAAAAAAAACAGTGTTGTGGTATTACATATAAAACTTATTCTGAAGACAAGTGGTACTTGTAAACGATGTATGGGGAGCTCCATTGACTCCCTCAAGTCAAGATCCTTAAGCCTTTTTCTCAAACTCATCACTGTTTCAGCTTCCATTTTCTAGTGGGACCTCCCAGCTTTCAATTTTTATACATAATAAACTGGGAGGCCCAGTAAGAAAACTTCTCTGTCAGAATGAGACTACAGATTTCAGAAGAAGACAGAAGTTACATAGATTAAGTTCAAGGCAAAATAAATCTTGAAGATAGTGGGGGAAATTAAAAGTAAAATATCATGGATCTTATAAACTTTAGCTTCATTATCTTCTACGCAGGATATGCAGACAAACACACGCAATACAAGTAGAAAAAATAGGACTAAGGAGAAAGAAACAACTCAGATTACTCAGTTATATAAACTTGGGAAAAAATTCTAATTTGCTTTTAACTCCAGTTTTTTTTTTTAGGTGACTAATCGCCAATCCTTATTCCAGGATTGGGGCTATTGGTCCTTATTTGGAAGAAACCAATCAGGACAGTCTTACTCTTCTCAGGAGTTAAAGGCAGTAAAAGGACAAAAATGAAATTAAATTAACCTGTTCTCTCTGAAGAATGCATTTGAATCAGGAAAAAAATATGTTTTTGATTTGAGTTTCCTGAATTTTATGGGATGCTGCCTGCTATCTTGATTAATTCTTTCTTAACTGAACGTTGCTGCAATACTAAACAAAGATTTTGTTTTATGTTTCATATTAGAGGTTTAATTTGGCCAAAGAAACAGTGATTGAGACAAGATACAATAGTTGTACGGGAACCATGTGACATCCTAGAGAAAGATTGTATGTCAGTGTAATCCAGAATTAGGGTGCATTTTTCCTATTCTTGATATGGTGGAAAAATAAGGCTGGTAAAGAAAGGGTTGAGAGAGAGAGTACTCATTAATTTTAGTTATTGTATTCTTTTTAACTGTTTTGATGTTATTTGTTTTCTCAGATTGTATGAGAATAAAGGGGAAGCTGACTTTAGGGAATCTTTGCTTCAACTCTTTAAGTCTATTAACGAAATGATGAATAGTGCCTCTGACCAGACTGTTACAGTAAAGGTATGTTTTGGAAATAGAAGAGCCTTTTTTATTTTTATCTATAAAAATCTTTACACATTGCAGGAAATTTTATATTTTACTTTATTTGAGAAATTAAGTTCAAATGTGTCCAGAGAATTTTCAGTAACCTGAAATTTTTAATGAAACTTTTTCTGCAGATGTACTTGTTGCTGAAATTAATACTCTAGTGTGTTAGTGTGGAAGTAGGGAATCTGTCCATATGAATTAATGCTTCTTTCTGAATTGACAACATTGCTATGGTATAGCTCTGATTTTGTTATGCTATTGCTTTGTATGATTATACAAAGTGGGTTAATTATATACCTTCTTAAGCCCTGAATTATCTTACACAAAGAAAACATCAAAACAAAATAATCTTAGAAAGAAGGCAAGGCAAATGGATACTGGCTGAAACTATACTTAATAATTTTGAAGGAGATTGGGGTTATGGAGAGTTGGATGATAGTATAAAATAGCAGGAGCCAGCAAAGAATAGGATTTTTTCTATTTGCTTTTTTTGGTTCTCCCCAGCATACCTTGCTCCTTAGATTTAGAACAAATTGTAGAGGTGTATATTTATTTGTGTGTGTGTGTGTAGTATGGTTTTTTATTTTTCCTGTCTCATGTTATCAGAAACAATGCAACTAATTTTTAGAAGCTGTGTTTAAGAATAGTTTGAGGACACAAAGAACATTGTTTGGGGAACTCAGTCCTGTTCTAACATAATCAGATTTTTTTCTATAATTCCCAGATGATGATATAACATAATTTGTGGACAAATAAAAGATAAATGAAATATATATTGTATATTTTTGTATCTTCTTGCTTTCTTGCTAGCCTCTGCCATGAATGAAATTTGGTAGACTGGTAATCTTGGAACAATTGATGATTTGTGAAATTAGCAATAGCAGTAGCACTTAGACTTATATACCACTTCAAGGTGCTTTACAGCCCTCTCTAAGCAGTTTACAGAGTCAGCATATTGCCCCCAACAATATGAGTCTTCATTTTACTGATCTTGGAAGGATGAAAGGCTGTGTCAACCTTGAGCCTTCAGTGTGATGAATCACACTGCCAAACTTCAGGCAGCTAGCAGTCAGTGGAAGTAGCCTGCAGTACTGCATTCTAACCACTGCGCCACCATGGCTCAGAAATTAAAATTCTATTAATTCATATCAGTCTAGAAAATAATGCTTTCATATTCTGCGACATAGTACTTAGTCACTGAAATAAATGAGAAATGTGTTTCTTATAATAACTCTGCTTGTGAACTGTGTCACTTTAATTAATAGATAATTAACTTTATGGTGGCTGAGTCTCCTGTCATACTATAGAATGTGTGTGTGTGCGTGTGTACCTGCTTTCTGGTCAGTATCACTCCTAGTGACATCCTGTATCTGTAGAGAAACTGATTTAACACAAAGTCACTTGGCTAGCCTTGTGCTTAAGCACAACTGAAACCCATGGTCCCCCAATGTCTAGATTGATGCCTTAATCACTGTATCAAGATGGCTCTTTGGAGAAATGTTAAGACATGCCAATTCTCATAGAATGATAGTGAGTAGTGTGCTTTTTGTTGTGATGAATGAATATTGTTGAAAGTAGTTGTGTATAAGAGTAAGGGGAAGGGGAAAAAAAGAGAAAAAGTCTTGAATGAATTAAAATGGATTAAACACAAAAATGAGTGACCATTATGAAAGTATTACATTGTGATATGATTATGTAGCCATAACGAATGATTCAATTGCAAACTAAGTATATAAAGATTGAATGGGTCAAAATGAAATGCTACAAAAGTCATAATTGAATAGAGAAAGAGGTGAGATAAGAAATTTAAAGAACAAAAGACTGTATGAATAGATATATGGATATTTTGTAATGAATGATGATTTGCAAGATAGAAAGCAATGTGTGACTGATACTGATATAATGGTATTCCTTTTGTTACAGTGGTATTCCTTAGCTTATGGTTTTGATTTTTTTCTTACAATTTCTTATACTTTTCTTCTGTATTCTGCAAAACAAAGCTTACCCTGAAAGGGAGTGGAACAATTGATATATATGTAAATATAAGTGAATAAATGAGGATCACATCATGGAACCAATATATGAAGAAAGAATGAATGGATTAAGAGGAAGAGGAAGACCAAGAAGGTTGTGATTGGATGGGGGTTCATGAAAAGTTCAAGGCCTAATAATGTAAAATAAATTCAACTATATTTTTTCTTTCATATTCCATTCCTTTATCTTATTATTTCTTACTTCCTTTTGGGCAATTTTCATGTTATTTATTGTGAAAGAGAATAGCATGATGAGCATAATAATGTACATAAATTCAGCATGTGTACATAAATTCAGTGCATATGAATTTATTCCTTATTCTCACCCTTATATTTCTGAGGAAAGTCAGATGGCTCTGTTTTTGGTTGACAGTCTCAAACTAACAGTGTGTCAATTACAGGCACTAAAAGGCAATTAACATACAAGTTTAGATGAAATCACAAGACAATAGTAATTTTAGTATGAAGGACTGATATCTTACAAGTGTGAACAGTAATGTAGAATAGGAATTTTTAATATACTACCTAAGTGTAATAAAGGATTAGCTTTTTGTTCTTTATTGGTATGAGATTATGAAAATGTGTGTTGTCATTAGGCTGATTAAATTCTGTTGTCCTTGCTGGGATGGGAACAGGGATATGAACCTTGGCTCAGTGATGTGCAAGTATGTTAATTAATAATTTTAATTTATAATGTTAATTTAAGAAGTTAACAAACTGTTTAATTGTTGGTAATTGTTCCTGACGTTCCGTTGATATCTGATGACTATTGCCTGAAATTAATAATCTCTCTTTTCATGTATATCAGCATCTGGGAATAGCTAACATAGTAATGATGCCACTAATCATGCAGGATCTCGTTTCAGCTATAGCTTGCAAATAGAGTAAAGGTTGCATTTGCTATTTGGCTTTCATAAGACTTAGCGTTGACCTTGTATAAAGTTAATCGGCTTTCTAATTTAAATTATTCTAGAGTCTCTCTATTTTCTTTTACTTTTTAAACTAAGCCATAATTCAGATAATTAAATATTTTAATTACAGTTTGACACATTAATCATCTGTATTGTCATCATTAATTTATTTTATAAAAGTGAGTCCTATTTATTTCAAATCCATTGAAGACAAGCAATAGTAGGTTTTTTAAAAATACGCAGATAATTAGCATGAAATGCTAATTATTAATAAATATACTAATCATTAATTTATAAAAACTAAACTGAAAGGCAAATTATTTCAGTACACTGATAGGAATCAATTTTAATCCTGGTTTATATGTAATAAAATATTAGCATATGTGAAGGTTACATTGAAAAAACAATTTTATGTTGTTAGAGAGATGTTTATCCAAAGCTCAGGTACCTTTTTTAATAAACTGTCATTTTTTTCTAATAAAATTGTAATAATTCTCAAAGGAAAAAACTTTTTTTGCTAGTTTGTGTAATTTTGAGCCATTTCTTTCAAATTAAGAGGAGTTTGTTTTATCTCAGAACTCTTCAAAATTAGGATTAGAGTATTCATGTTTTCAAAATTCAAAATGAAATTTGCAAGAACCTTTATCTCAAAGCTATCACTAATATTAGTAGGATACAATCTCCAACAGTAGGATAATACTGATAAAGGTGCTTCCAGAATTTGTAAGTTAGAAAAAGCTTTTTAATTGGAAACAACTTCATGTTTTTAGGACTTTCTCTTTTTATTTCCCTTCCTCCCACTTTTTCTTTGTATATGAAGTTTCTTTCAAGTCAGATTCATTTCCAGCCATGGGCACACCATGTAGTTTTTTTGGCAACAATATAGAAAAGGTTTACCATATCTACTTCTAGCATATATTTAACTTTTCACATTCTAGCCTACAATCCTGGTATTTCTTGGTGATTGATTCCCATTGAGATATTATAACTTGGTGTGATTCAACTTAACTTTTGGGGGTTAACAAAGGTCAGGTACCAGCCATTTATTATAATATATTGGTTATATTTGTTGCCTCTAGGCATTGAAGTGCTGTTTCTTTAAACAGAAAAGTATTACAGTGGTACAAAGAAGGTAATTCTAGGCATGTTTAATTGTGCTGAACATATAGAATACCTATGGAATTAGTTCCATTCTTTCTGAGAAAGAATACCTATATTTATGGTTGCATGATTTTTTACTTCATACTTTGCTAACTGAAATCAGTGTAATAGGCATCATCTTGAGAAATATGTAAATTAAGAATTACTTCATGCATTATTCAAAAAAGCTTATTTTGTATCATTGATAGCTCTTATCTTATGTAAAGATATGCTAATGGTTTAATTAAAATAATTACACTGAATAATGTACCCTGAACTTTATCCCAAAGTACTTCATATTAATCATCATACATAGCTGTATTTTAGTCACAAAGACAGTTATAAATTTGATGGTTAATAGATAACTAACTTGGGGCCTGATTAACTCCCTCTAAAGCGGCAAATAGAACTGCCTTAGTTCTGAGTTAGATTTTGGTTTCAACTGGGAGTAGAAGAAGAATAGTATAGTCTGCTTAATACATTAGTACTCTCATGTGAATGAAATCTTTAATGTGTGCCATTGTGCCCACAGTAAAAAAAATGACAATAAAGGTTATCTATTCATCTATCTATCTATCTATCTATCTATCTATCTATCTATCTATCTATCTATCTATCTATCTATCTATCTATCTATCTATCTATCTATCTATCTATCTATCTATCCCTTTAAAGAGTCAAGGAAGACAAATCAAGTGCAATGGGCTTATTCTATTAAAACTCTAGGCAAATTAAAATAATGCAGGTACTATGATACAACAAAAAGTTGAGCTACTCAGAATTTAGGGAACCTCATGTAATGCTGCAAGAAGAAAGAAATTTCATATGAATGAATCTATATCTTGCAAAATAATATAGTATAAAATCCTTCCCTTTATTTTTAAAAAGTATTTTAATTGTAAAGTTTTTTGTTCTTGTTAGATTTTGTCCTTCTCTTTGCTCCAAACGGTTGGCATCATGAAGCTCATGTTTGTGTCTAAGTATTATATACAATGGATAGAAATTGTACAACATTACCTATGATTTTTCAAAATCTTCTGATGCTACAAAGATAGAAATAAATACATAGGAACTAATGATATAATCAACTGTAAAAATGGAAGAAAACAAATCTTGATCCTAAAATTGCTGCACTGAAGGTTTCATTTGATAAATTGAAAGAGGATAACTGCAGCATAGTGGTTCACAACTGGAGATAAAGAAACAACAAAGGACAGTAGTGGAAACAAATGGAAAATGATAGTGGAAGGATGTGAAAGAGAATTGGGAGTCAAGGAAATTTTCACATGGTAGCCTCATTCTTTAAGTACAGAGAGTAACAGAGGAGGCAGTGAAGAACGTAGTTTCTAAAACCGCTGGAAAGTTAAATAACATTGTTGAAAAGGGTATCAGAGAAGCAGTGGCAAGAAATGCTTTAAGGAATTCAACTGTATGATTTAATTCTTCTTTAAATAAATTATTCTGCTCATTTTTAGGGAGCTGCTCTTAAATACTTACCAACTATTGTGAATGATGTAAAGCTTGTTTTTGATCCCAAAGAACTTAGGTACGTATGTGTCATCTGTACAAGTATATGCCTAAGATTATATTTTTGTTCATACTTAATAATAATCCTCTTTGAACTTGAGATGTTCCTATGCTTAAGTTTAGGGTTGTGTTGGAAACATTTGCTATGCTGTTAGTTTATTAATGATAAAGCCTCTTTCAGTCGGAGCTCTACACCACTGCATTTCATAGCCATGTCTGCATATTTTACAGTTGCCTTCTTTTGGAACTTAAGTATTAAAACCTATTTCTTATCCCCAGACTTTGAGACAGAATAAATGTGATGGAACCCTTCAGTGAAACTTTGGTTTCATTTTTTTAACACAATTGTTATTATCTTTTTGGACTGTCTCTTTTGATGATATAATTATTTTTTTTTGTTTTTATAATTATTTTGTAAGCTGCTCTGAGTTGTAACAGATTGGTGAGCGAGGGGCTATGCATTTCACAGCTAAATAAATAAATGGGAGTGGGGTGCAGTGAAATTAGTGAGTCTTACTCAAAATAAATATGTGAGTGTGCTTACAATTACATAGTAACATATTTTTATGAACCCGTTTTTCTTAACACCTTTGGGTTTCACTATAGCAGCCTCCCTTTCCTTAGACTGCTTGCTCTCCGAAACATAGAACAACCCCACAGTTGTGGCCTTCCAGAACCAATTAATGCCAACCTTTTCTGGAGGATTAATTTGATACAGCAGTGTCATTTTTCTATAATTCAGAATTTCTAGCCTTTTATTACCAATCACTATTTTAATCAATTTTATTCTAATTTTATGGTCTGTGTTTATTATGTAAATTCTGTAAGGTGCTTAGAGTCTAGTGGTTTCAAGTGGTCAGATAAATAAATGATTAAATAAAAATATGAATTTGAAATATTTGCATGTTTCTATTCCCAATGCACTTGGGCACTTTGAAGAGCAAAAATAATTACCCGACTGCTACCTTCTATTTTTTTTTTTTTCATTTTATTAAATTTATACCCCGCCCTTCTCC